GGTAAGAAACTAGCCAAGCTTTGCTTACCATGATGTCAAATCACAAAATAGTCGTTCATGTATGTAGCTAAAAATTTAGGGGTTAGTATTGTTTCCACCAAAAGGTGTTGCTCAAATTTGGCCATATAGTTGTTCACTTGCAAGGTCCCATTGCAAGTCTTTATATATGCTGATAAAACTTGCTATCAAAGGTAAAGCAGGTGCTACTCATGGATAGCCTAAGAAGTCTAAATATGGAAGCTATATTCAAACTTATTCTTTGTGTAATTTCTGGATATTCCCTTGGAGTTTACACTAAAGTCTGAATGCCTCATTGGACAGGAATATTTGTGTACATAAACAGGGCATTGGAATTTTCTAGTCTATCTCCTAAAATAATCTGCTGAACAACCAATTTTACAAGCTCATACGAATTTTTAAGGGAATATAGCCCAAAATCAACAACCGCGTCGACCTGAACGTCGTAATAAAGCCAAACGGCTGAGGTACAGCAGGAATCAGCCGTAGTCTTTTGGTGAGATCGACTTTCGAATCTCTTCTTCGTGCACTTTCATACGAAATTAAAGTCCCCCCATTAACTAACAATCTATTTCTAAATAGCTTGTGATGATTTAAGGACTGATGGTTGAGTTTTTTCAACAATTGGATCATGATGCCTCCCAATGCGACTGAATTTTATTTAGCCTGGTTTTACAAAAGCCTATCTTATCTAGGGTGGATGGCAATTCAGACTTCGCATTGGTTTCAACTAAAACTCCAGCGGGATTCGATACCGGTATTTAAGTATCGTGGCCTAGTTAACCACTCCACTACATGGCCAACGGTGCCAGTCACAGAACGGATGTGGCAGTTAAGGCAAGCCAGGACTCTCTCAAATCACATTTTATAGTGGAAATGTCAAAATCGACATTTCCACTATTGAAGAGGTGATACGAGGATATAGGATAGGTGAAAAGCCCAGGACAGGAGAGATACCACAACTGTTTAGCACACATTTGGTCAAAGGATCGACTTCCCTTGTCTCTTTGAAGAGTTGTAGTGTGGTGCTAAGAATGGCAAGACTAACTGACGATGCCGGCGAAACGTCTGGGAATGTACCAAGCCCACGATCTGACTGGAAATTATCATGCATATTATGGACTCCGGAAAAATTGTATTCCTCTACGTATTCCTGCCGATATGACCACGTTGCGAAAACGAGGTCAAACAACTTCTATA